TTCTGGGAGGAAGTTTATCTTATCAACTATCATTAAATAACCCAGATTTAATTAATTTGTGTTGCGATCAATGACAGCTTGGGGAGTGGGGGCTCCAGACCCACATGTTCTGCATCTCCAGGCCTCCATCCATTTGGTGCCAGAGTGAGCATGAAGGGAGAGGGGCCCTGAAGTAGCAAACCAACTGATGCAATCTGTTGTATGTCAGGGCTGGACAGAAAGATCAGATGTTTTTAGCAATTCTTGAAGCAGAAAGCAGGCAGAGAAAGTTCTTTCCCCATTCCTGGGTCCCCTCAGGAAGCTGGGGGAGTATAACAGGAAATGATGCTGCCAATAAATAGCAGACTTGGCTGTGGGCCTTAGGCATGCCACTTATTTACTGTGTGGCTTTGAACAAGTCACTTGACTTCTCTGGGTCTTGATTTCCTTTTCTGAAAAATGAAGACAATGATTCTTCACAGAGTTTTGATCATTAAATGGGCTAATACGTATGAAAGTAACTTGTACAGAACAAAACTTAACAGTAAAAACTAATTACTACAAGGTCTCCAAATGGGAGACATGAGCTTGACTCAGAAACATGGCAGAAACCTGAACTCAAGTGCCATCTTTTTCTTGTTGTCTTGTCCTTTTTGGGTCAAAATCATGATTTGTAAATTGATAGATGATATGAAATACCATGTGCATGGAAGTATAAGCTAAGGCCAGGAGCTTTGTGTTAATCTGCGTCCCAGGCCACATGCTGCCCCTTCACCACCTTGCCTCGGGCGGAAGTGTTCTTTCTATATAGCCTCTCTGCCAGAGACATGTGCATGCAGTGTGGCTATTCTCGAAGATGCTTTCCACCTTCTGGAGCTTTGCTCAGGTGGACATGTAGGTCGCTTTCCATGGAGCTGACGGCATGCAATTCACTTGAGCAGAAGCTTCAGAGCTTCGGAACCTGCAGGGAGGGGAAAGGTGATCTTCTTGAGGTTCTAGAAGGGTCTCGCTACTATACTGATGACTCCTCTCCTCATCTCCCCAGCATCCCCACAGCCCCCTGGATTAAGTCTATGCTGTTAGCTAATGCATCAGAATGTAGCTGTGATTATGATTGTGGCCACTTTGAGCTGACGCCACCTCTTGGTACTGCAAATCCCATAATGAATGGTACACATACTACCTCCTGAATTCACACACTTAACCAAGATGCCACATTTTGGCAAAGGTCATGGAAGTCAATAACCATCCCTCTTAATTACTGGCCTGCATGAAGTTTTAAAACATATTCTCTTAAGGTCTCCTGGCTTTGAAGTGGTTTCCTGTGGTTCTGCCAAAAGCACAGAGTGACCTGCAGTGGGGTTTGCTGGGCTCAGCCCTATTTTCTATTGATTTTGCTAAAGGCTGAGCACAATTTCATTCAAGGCACCCTCTCTGGGGCAGTTAGGCATGAGTGGAATATATATAGGAATATCCACATGCTGAGAAGCTGGTACCACCTCCAAACCTCTCCTGGCATTTTGGGGCTCGCATACTGGAGATGAGAGATTTGCAGAGACACAGCTGTTAGGAGTGAAAAATGGAAACTTCCCAGTTTGCAGGGGAACCTGGTTAAGATTCATAGACAACACTGGAGGTTATCTGAAACCACTGGGATGGTTGGCTTTCTCCCCGAGAATGAGGCTTAAACCCCAGCCCAAGTGTAAACCCAATCTCCTATTTTTCTCTGCTTTGTAAAAAACTCAAGGCTAAGTTTGAAGTGTCGCCCTACTTCACAGAAGCCATCACCGTTTTATTTATCATGCTTATGAGAAATGCATTACCATGGCTGCCTATCACAGGCTCTGTTTACCTGTCCTACACAGTCCAGCCTCCCTCCCTACCATCCAGTCCAACTGAGCATCTTGTTGTTACATTCCAACAGGATAGGAAGCACATAAGCCTCACTTCCTACAGTATCTCCAGCACCCTGCCCTGGCCTTGGAGTCAATGAGCAATGCAAGGGTGCCCCAAGCCCCAGGGCCCTTCTCCTCACTGCTGGCTCTGCTTACAGTGCATTCCACGCCTGGTGATGATGCAGTGGGACCAGCTTCATTGCTTCCAGTGCCTTTGCTGGACTCCTCCAAGGAGGCCTGAGGACTCTCTGTTATGCCCCAACTATACCACCTACAACTCTTTGTAGATCCTATTTGTTTATAGCCAGGGAGCAAAGGAACATCTGCTCTTTTTCTAGGAAAAGAGGATTCAAGGAGTCAACAACTATCTTTTGCTCTCTGTAGGGCAGATCATCTGGGAGAAATCAGCCTGGATACTGTTTGGCTCTAAAGGACAGAACTGGGTGAGTTCTGGTGCAGTGTAAGGGAAAAGATCATCTCAGGTCCGTCTTGTGAGGTTGTGAGCACCTGGCACTGGTGTGCAAACCTTGGCTGAATTACTGTGCCAGGAATACAGTAAGCAGGTGACTTTCAAATTCCTTCCAAACTAGTGCAGTGGTAGTAGGTTACAGTGGCTAAAATAGCCAGGTGTGAATCCTGGCTCAGCCATCTGCTTAGCTTGGTGACTTTGAGCAAGTCAAGTGACCTCTCCGAGTGTTAGTTTCCCTAACTTTTGAGGTCTGAGATACCCTCGGAGATGGTATTGGGTGGCTGGTAATCAGTCTGTTGGGAAAAAAAGGCGTTAGTTGAGTCATCTTACATAGCACATAGCACTGAGGTTAAGACTCACAAAAATGAAGACAACTTTCTGCCCTTAAGGTGGATAAAGCAATAGGAGCCCAAGGAGCCTTTACGGAGTCAGCAGGCCACTCTCACTGGCTGCATGGCCCTGGGCAAGGCACGGAGCTGCCCCATGTACAAAATGAAGATTATCCTGCTGAAGACAGGATAGGGCTAGCTGAACTCTGCAGGTCCTTTGACCATTCAAACCCAGTTTCCATATTATGGCTTAATTATAAGAGTGACTTGAAAGTAAGAAGCTACGGGGTGGGCCTGAATCTGCACAAAGCCTGGTTGAGGAAATGCTTTTCAAACCTCATGTGTTGCCTCGGGGGCCAACTGACAAAACCTTCCAGCATTCTGGGTTTACTTGGAGAAGGACCCACAGGGGCTAGAGAACAGGACACCACCTTGAAACTCACTGGTTTCATGCAAAATGTGGAGTAAGCTCCCCTCTCTCTCCAACAAAAATCACCCTCAAATTCCTCTTCTAAAGAAATTCTGCCACGTTTGCTTTCCTCCGGCTCTTCTTGATGAACTCCTACTCATCCCTCAAGACCCAGCATGTAGTGGGGTCGCTGGTTTACAAATGTCACAGAAAGCTTTTCTCTGGCCACAGCATGGACTCTGTCCTTTCTACAACCTAGCATTTATTATAACAGCATTACTGCAAACAGGTACTTGCAATCTGACCTCACCACAGGCTATATTTAGAATCTTCAGTATCTTGGAGATTGCTGGTGCCACAGATATTTGCTGGAATAAATTGAGTTCTCAGAGCACAGGATTAATTAGCTGGTTTAGTTTCTCCTGCAGGGTCTGCCTGTCCTGTCGTGAACCTCCTGTCACGAACTTCTTTTGAACCCTGCTGTGAATCGCTGCATGAAGGCCCTAGCACAGTTTTGGTGTATTAAACAGCTTGCCTACAAAGGGAAACTAGGTAAAGTCAGGACAGCTGGCATTCATAAATCCTGCATGTTGGTAGCATTTTCCAGAAATGTATCTCACCTAGCATGTATGCTTTGAGTTACTTTGGAGCTAATTTATATATCCAAAAGGTCAGACATCCCTGTATCTACCTGATGAAAACACCAGCAGAATTCACTGAGTACTGCAGAGTAAGTGGCTGGCACTCTCCCAGGCTGCTTGGAGGCTGTCCAAGTATGGAGGGGGTTGGGATCTCTGGGCCTTTCTCTGATGAACTTATTTTTCAAATTGCAACCAAGAACTTTCTACAAGGGAAAAGGTCTGTCCCCAGTTTCTGAAAGGAATGTTCAACGAATGGCCTCTCTTCTGGCCATAATCCTCTGGGCCAAGTTTGTGCTGGCTAGAAAAACTCTGGGTGTGATTTTTCTTAGAAGAGGGCATTGAATTTATGTCCCCCCATGTCAGAGACAGGAAAAGAGGGAGAGAGCCATGCTTTTTGCTGACCACTCTGGGCACATGGCTCTGTGCAGCTATGGCTGCTGACCAGGGAAGGTCAAGGTTCAGTGACTCCAGTTACATCAACAGGCAGGAACCACTCCCTCGCTGCCACTCCGAGGGCTGAACCCACTTCTGGTCTGTGCTCCTGTACATCTGGCCCATTTTTTACTGAAGCAAATCTAACTGCTCTTACTCCCTGCAACAACTTGCTAACTTGTTTCCTGGCCTCTGGCCTGGCCCCATCTAATCCATTCCCCTCTGCAGCCAGCATGCCCTTTGTGACAGATCCGACCCCATCCCTTCTTCACTTCAAATCAGCCAATGGTTCCCACTGCCTCGGGGTAATTTCTAGAATTTTCATCTTAGCTGACAGCCCTTGTGTGATCATTGGGCCTGCTCACATGCAGTGTCACTCCATTGCTCTTTCTGGCTTCAGAAATCTCTTTCAATCCCCCCAGTGTAGGCTTCTTTCTTGCCCTTAAGCCTTCCTCCTACAAAGCTTAGAAGGTTCTTCCTTCCCTACCTGTCTTCACACTTCTAATTCCTACTTACACTTTCTGTCAACCTAGAGATACATCCTGCAGGAAACCTTCCCTCTGATCGGGGCCTCCCACAGGACTTTGTATTTCCCCTAACAGTACTTGACCTGGGCCCTGCTGATCTGTGTGTGTATCTGGGCTGCTCAATAAGCTCTAAGCTTCATGGGAGTAGGGGCTGAGCTTGCCTGTTGACCCTTGTAGCTGGGAGAAATGACTGGGCACACAGTAGGTGGTCAGTGACTACTTTGCTGACTGAGTGAATGCAGCAAAGCATGCTTACGGGAACAGAAGCCCAGGGTACTCACACCTCTGGAGGTGGGAGGGAACTCTAAACTGCACTCACCGTTACATGTGCAGCGCACGTTCCTGTAGAAACGCGGGCACACAAAGCTGATGCGAGCTGTGCTGTAGGTCATGAGTGCGTGGGAATCCAGCGACAAGCCCTGCTCGCAGTGCTGCTCCTGACAGTCCAGCCCTGAGCAGTTCTTCTCCAGGATGGCAGAGATGCGCATGACGTTCTCCAGGTGTCTCCTGGCGTTGGACAGCTTCTGGATCAGGTAGGCTGGCTTGTAGAACTCACTGCTGTGCATCTCCACGGCAAACAGCATGTCCAACTGGTTGGTGCCCGTGACGGGCTGGATGCTGATGATGTGCAGGTTGTCCTGCTTCTGGGTGAGGACGGCAGCCCGCAGGGTGCGCCGGAACCCATGCATGTGCAGCCCCACGAAGTCCTCGGGGGACACGTTCTCAAAGCGGATGGTGACTGTGTTCTGCAGCATCTCGTGCACCAGCTGCTCCACGTGCACAACCACATCAATGGGCACCTGGAAGCGGCCGTCACTCACAGACACATTCAGGATGTACTTGCCACTGTCCAGGCCTCCCAGGGCGATGATTTTCCCATCGTGACTGTTGACTTTAAACAAGCTCTTCTGCTCTGATTTTAGGGCAAACGTGAGCACATCATACATGTCTTGATCTGTGGCATGGATCTTCCCAATGACCCCACCAGGAAAGTCATCCTCCATGGTGACAATGAAAATTTCCAGGGGGATGGCTGTGGGCTTGTGGATACTTTCCTCGATGACCCTCACGCGGATGTAAGAGAGAGAAACTTGCTGAGGTTTGCCTGAGTCTTTTGCCTACAACAGCCAAGTTGGGGAAAGGCAAGAACTAAGAAAAAATCTTAATAATTAAAAAAAAAAAGAACAAAACTCAGATAGAAGACATCTGTTCCTTTAATCACATTTGCTTCTTCCTCTATCCCCTGCCATTATTCTGCAAAATGCTGAAGATGTGCATTTAAGTTAGAAGAGTGATTTATCATCTCCAGTCCCCATGTGTACACTCTGTTATGGACAATAAAATGTGTCAACACAATAAAGCCTTTGGGGGTGAATAGGGAAGGCGGATAGAGGGTGCTACGAGATCCAACGTATCCACAGCAGGCTGGCCTGGCTTTACTTTTGGACAGAAGCCACAGGGGACCCTCAGAAAGTAACATGTCCACTTGGAAGAGAAATCTTTGTTCTTTTCAGACCCCTTCCTTTTGACTGGACCAGAGAGCAACTTTCAACACATTTAAGAAATAACATTCTTTAACTGGGAATTACATGATATTAAGATTTAGAGTAAAAAATGGTACACCAAAGGGAAAAACAGGTAGTCTAGGAAAAACCTTTCTGTTTTCCTTATTTATGTAAGAATTGACAGAGCCACCACTGACAACAGATTTTTACTCAGTACCTGCCATGCACAATATTGCAGGGCTTCAGAGAAGGGCAGACTCCCATGGGCTGGGTCCCCCGGGGCAGGTGTTTGAAGATGTGGGGCTACACTGCAGGCCAGGTGGGATCTGGACAGATGTGTCCTTGGAAGGCAGGTAAAAGCAGGGGCTCAGGCCTCATACAGCCCTGATTTCCAGTCCTGGCTCTGCCACTCACTATGTCTGGCCATGAATAAATTACTTAACTTCTCTGAGCTTCTAGTTTTGTATCTTTAATAATGAGTAAAACAGTGGTTTTACCTCACAGGATTCTTATATTGTGAGGATTGAGAGCCGAGGTGGTTGCAAAGTGCTTAACAGAGGCCTGATCCACAGAAGTACTATGTGAAAGTTAACGTGAGTGCTGCTACTTCTATGATTACCGTTACCACATGCTTAATTTGATGGACAGGTGAGGTTGAATTTGAAGTCAAACCATGGAATATTTCAAAGGAAGGTAAGAGTTTGGACTTTAGAGGCCAGAGGTTGCCTATTCAAATGTCAGAGGCCAGAAAGATGAGGGGAAGGCATAAAGCCACTGAATGTAAGGTGACAGACGAGTTGGGCCTGTGGTCTGAAAAAGACTGAAGAGTCGAGTCTGCTCAAGAAGAAATTAGGCAGACCTAAATCCAAATCTGAAAGAGTCTGGGGCCGGAATTCAGCCTGCAGGCCACAAGTTTTCAAGCACTGGGGAGCCACAAATGGTTTTACCTTAGGGCAGGGCTTTTAGCTTAGCTTATACCTTTTCCGTAAAAGGCTAGATAAGAAATAGTTTAGGCTTTGGGGGTTATATGATGTCTATAAACTACTCACCAGTGGTTTCAGCATGGAAGCTGCCACAGGGTATATGTATCTGTATGGGGAAGGCTGTGTTCCAATTAAGCTTTATTCATAAACACAGGCTGAGGGCAGGATGTGGTCCAGGGATGGTAGTTTGCTAACCCCTGTTTTAGGGGATTGACATAATCAACGGGGATGATTAATCTGGGAGGGGTGAGGGAGGTGTAAGAAAAGAGTAAGGCTGAAGCCAGAGGAGTCACCCGGGAGGCTCCTGTAACATGAGTACAGGGAGATAGAGGACCAAGTAGGCAAGGACAAAGGATACGTAACTGCCCTGACAGGGTCTGGGTGAAGGCAGAAACTCAGCGCTCGGTGGTAGTTTGATGTAAGGGACTAGGAGCGGGAAGATCTCCCTGGTGTTTCCGAAGTATGCGATGTGAAGTCAGCTCTCTCACAGGCGGAGAGGGCATGCAAAGCACCGTCCTGGCTTCTGTGAGCGAGCACTGGAAACCCCTTCTTGCCCTGGTAGGAGGTGCCCCTGTACTGTGGTGTAAAACTACTTGCATGACACAAGGGGGAGTGGGTGAATGGAAGCATCTGTCGACATGCTCTGGGCCAAAAGTCATTTAGTTTGTAAGATTTCATGGAGCAGGGCAAGCCATACCTTACCGGAAGAGATGATGTACACAATTGAATGCCATACAATTATGAAGAATTCCTGTTGTTGCTATTGCCACCATTAATAATGACTTCAGGTGCCCTCCGGGAACTTTCTGGCATGCTCTCATTTCCTGCTCCTACCCATACCCTTTCCATTCCTGCCACTTTGAGCCATTTCATTTTACACAGGCCTCTGACCTGGAGGTAGCAGAAATCTTGAGCAGCCACTGCCATCTGGGTGCTCGGTCCCCTCCTGCCTCACCAGGAAAGCTTACTAAGCAGAGCCCTCGACTGAAGCTGAGGCTATGCTACGACTCAGTCCCAGTAGGACAAAGACAGGTTGCTTTGATCAGTGATTGTCTCTGTGGGTCCATTAGAACCCCGGGAATTTTTAGAATGCAGATTTAGGCCCAGGGACTGGCTGCTCCTGCACAGCCCTAAAGGAAATGTCCCTCCTGAACAACGATGCTTCCTTTCCTTCCTGTTCAATTTCACACAAGGAGACCGCTTTTATTGGTGTGAAATTGAATTTGAGATTAAAAGAGGAATATTTCTGCACGCTCATGAATTATGTTGACTTGCTCCACAAAGAAAAACCAACCAACGGGCCCAGAAACAAGCAGAGGAGAAAGCTGGCCGGAGGCGGGCAGGGAACGAGGCCGCACCTGGACACACAGCACGTATTCCGGGGAGCCCGTGTGCTGGAAGACCACGGCCGAGCGCAGGATCCCGCCAGAGTCCAAGAGGAAGTCCTCCTCTTCATTTCCCGACAGGATAGAGAACGAGAAGGGAGGCCCGTTGTGAAAGGAGTCTCTGTCTGTCACCACCAGCTGCAAAATGCTGGTGCCGACTGGCTTATTTTCCTGCATAAAAGAGTATATTGAAAAGGAAGATAAAATTACACCTCTGTTAACATTTAAAAAACCCATCATTACTGGCTGAGGGTGCTGTGCTAGAAGACAGGGCTTCTCGCAGAGAGGACTCCCTGGGATATTATCTTGTCTTCTGAAAAAATGCTTGGCTGCCACCCCACAACTGCCCTGTGAGCCAGTGAGCACAGGGGAAGCACACGCGGACTTTGCTTGGAAGGCATCTGTGGCTTCCATGGACGGTGCCAGCTCCGCCTTGTCTTTGATGGGCTGGAAATGTCCTGCATCCACCTGAGCAGCTTTGGGGGTACAGGATGCTCACCGGTCTCTGTGGCTATCCTGGATATCCTTTCAGGCCAAGAAAACACCAACCTATTGGGATGGGAAGGCACTTTCTCACACTTGTCCCAACACACTTGTTCTGAGGCCCAACACCGTGACACAACATCACAACATCAATTTTTTTTGGGGACATCCTGGCACCTTCCCCATAAATATACACAGGCTTATGCCAGGTGGAGAATGAGGATTTACTCCCCCGCCCTCCCTGAACAGTTTTGCCATGTTTCTTAAGGAGAAGAGAAGGGGATAAGGTATTTCCCAACTTGAGAATGAAGAGAAAGGACATCCTTCACTTCATGAGCGTTTTTGGACGCCCTGATGTTATTAAGCAAGTGTTCGTTCCCAGAACCTCTCTGCGTTTTCCCCAGAATGGCAACACAAAGGCTCTCCACCACTCCCTCCTGGGACGGAGGTTCTCCTCACGGTGGAAACGCCAACTTGAATTCCTCTGTAGCGCAAGCTCTGGTTTCCCCGCCCCACGCGGTTTGGACTTCAGCGTCACAACAGCCTGGGCCTGAAGTCCGTCTCATTAGTTTAGGTCTCCTGATGACATCGACTCAGGATAAAGTGAGTTTGGGTGACAGAGATGAAGACAGTGCTACACTGCCGATTGGAGGCAAGCCATGCATGGGACAGGCTTGCTAGTTTTATGTGCTGGAATTAGTCTTATGAAAACCATGTGTTGGGAAAAGGGAGGGACACTTTTTGAAGGAGAAAGAGAAAACGACCTCAAAGCCCTCTCCTTTTGATCCTTCTCTCAAGAGGCCTTTCGGCCACCAAGAACTAGACACCGTCTGTCTCAGGAATCTGTTTTGGACTCTCCTCAGCCCAGTGGAGATTTACTATTTCACCCTGACAGCATACTCAGCACCACGCAAAACGGAAGATTTATTGATTTGATTGCTCACTCCTATACAGGCCATTTCCCTCCCAGAAGAGAGAGAGAGAGAGAGAGAGAGAGAGACAGAGAGAGACAGAGAGAGACAGAGAGAGAATGTGTGCCCTAGGGGTCACCGTCTGAGAAAGAAAGGTGGACAATAACACGGGCAGGACCCGGAGCTGCCAAGGGGCGCTAGGGTCATGCTCACGGGCTGGGGTTCTTGGCTCTTTCATGCTGACTTCCTGCTGTGCATGTGAAAACGGCCTGTCTAGCTGATCGATGTGTGTCATAAAACTGAACGTTGAGTCGGCAAAGCCTGTTTTGTTTTGGTACGAGCACACAGAGGTGGTGAGAGCCAGAGCGCCACAGTGGGTGACATCTGGAGAAGAGCCGTCTGAGAGAAATGGAGGAAGGCGCAGCCCCCGGGTGAAGCTCTGTGGAAGCAGGAGAGCGAGAAGAATGCACAGCTGCTGGAGGAAGCCTCCGAGGGGAGCGGAAAACCAAAATACCCCCAGTGAAGGCATTGGATTTCGCTGACAAAGGGACGGGAATGAAGCAGAGAGCCGCTTGCTGTGTGACCGCCTCTCAGTCTGACCGCTGGCCCGCTCAGCGGTGAGGTAGGAGCTGGCTATGGACGGCCAGACTCAAAAGTCTTGCAAATCATTCCGTAGGGGCCCCTCAAGACCTGGCTCACTCTCATCTTACCTTCTACCTGCAAAGCCCCGGGAACCCATGGGGTGTGATTCTGAGGCTAAACTGGATCAGGCAAGAGCAATTAATTCTCTAGAATATGTGTGATCCTCCTGCCCCCCGAGGACATGTATATCAATCCCTGTCCCCTCTAAGTACTCCACAATGACGGTATTCCTGGGCTGGATTCCCCAATTCTCCTGAAATTGGGCTTCCAGTTTCTAGAAATACTGGGAGGAGGAGGTAGCTTGGTGGTGCCTACTACCGTGCTCATGAACTCTCCTTTGAATAAAAAAATAGAGGGGAAAAAGAGTTGTTCTCTCTGATAGCAGAGTGCAGCAGTAAGTTACTCCATCCTGCTGGTGGATTTTAAAGAGCAGGGGCATTTAACGGGCTAGACAAACTGCCTATGGAAGACTGATTTCAAAGAGTAGCAGCTCTATCTCGATGCCCAGTCTCCCTTTGACAGATGAGATGGTTTGCATCTGTCTCCCTCCCCTGCCAGAATAGCAGAGTGGCTTATGGGCAGCCTGTCACTGTGGAAAGAAAAGAGCTGTTGCAGAAGACAGACCCGAGTTCAAGTCTTGCTTCCACCACTTGCCCGCTGTATGACTTTGGGTGGGCACCCAATCCTCCAGTCCTTAGCTCCTTCACTGTCCAATGGGGGCCGACCCACACCCCAAATCATGGGGGTGTGCCAGGGGCAGATGGTGCATATAAGGCACCTGACCCCTGAAAGAACCCCACAAGTGAGAGCACTTACCAACGTTTATTAATCAGTTGCAGTAGAAGAATCAGGCTCTTTTCATACCAAGCCTATGATGGGATGAGTTGATATTAGGTAAAAACGGTAACACACCACAAGGAGTAAACCACAGCACAGGAAGACGGCTGAGTGCATCAGGACAAGTGTCTGTCAGACTGGGTTTGCTCACCTGAATCACAGCGGTGTAGTTAGCAGGTGTAAAGAGTGGGCTGTTGTCATTCACATCAGAAATATCAATGTTGACAGTGGCAGTTGATGACATCGTGGGAATGCCACTGTCTGCTGCCTGGACCAGCAGGGAGTATCCAGACACCTGCCAGAGCACGAAGGGTGGACAGTAAAGAAATGCAGCGCCTCCTTCCTGATGTGTGCACAGAGTTGCTGCAGGCTCTGCTGTACTTTGCTGAAGACCCACGAGCTTCACTTTGGTCCTCTAGACCAGGGTCTCTCAACCTAGGCACCCATGTGGGGCCAGCACAATCCTTTGTTGGGGGGCTGCTCTGTGCACTGTAGGATCGTCAGCATCAGCCCTGGTTTCTACCCACCAGAAACCAGTACCACCCACCTCCTGCCCATTTGTGGCAACCCCCACCAATATCTCCAAACATGGTCAGATGTCCCCTGGGAGGCACAACTGCCCCTGGTTAGACCCACAACCCTCGGCCTTTATTCCAAACTAAGTGCTGTCCCTGTCCATCTGCCTTATTGATCAGTTCTGATACTTCGGGAGGTAGGGAACATATCACCCAGGGCGCTCCTCCAGCTTTTCAGCACCACCACTGTGACATCTTCTTCCATATCTAATTTCACTTTGAAGATACATGTTTTTGGTCAAAAAGACAATGTTTAGCAACTTAGTTTAACCTTGAACAGGGGAATTTTCTGGATCATTCTTTCTGACTTAGATCCCTTCAGGTGATCCTTTTGTATCTGCTCACCTAGGGCAACAGCTGCTTATGAAACCAGGACCACCGGATCCTAACACTGAAGGCAATTTTTTTTCCCTCTTTGCTCTAGGAAGAACCAAAATTCAAAACATCTAGAAGACACATATTTGCTTTTTCTTTCAAACATCTATAACTAAGAACTGTCAGCATCTCTTGGCAGAGAATTCTTTCAAAAGTCTAATCCAAATACACTGTGCTGCATTTTAGCCCATTCCTGGTTACTCCCGTTATTTTGGGTGGAGACTGTTCTACACTCATGGCACCTGTGCCTGATTCCAGTGAAGGGATGGGTGTGGATGGGAAGGGGGCTGGCTTAAACTAGCTTACCCGTTCCCGGTCTAATTTCTTCTTAACTTTCACAAGTCCCAAGACAGGATCCACAGCAAATTCGTTGTCCCGATCTCCATTCACAATGGAAAAATGAATCTGTCCGTTGGGCTGGCTGTCTGCATCTTCTGCTATTAGCTTCCCGGGACACAGCAAAACAAAGGAAAAGCATGACATGAGACAGAGAAAAGGGTTACTCACAGTGCCCCGGGTCTGTGCAAATGGGCAGAGCTCTGATGTTCCCTCAGGTACTATGGTCGCCAAGGTCAGTGGTCATGTCCCCTGGAAGGGAGGGTGGTTCAGCTCAAGGAGGAAAGTGCCACCCGTGGGGCTGCTGTTTCACTTGTGCTAATTTTTACCTGCCTACAGCCTGATGCTGGTTAGGCCTGATATTTTTCAGGCCTTGAGCCAGTAAGGACTGAGCCAACACTAAGTGACAGGGATGCCTTATGATCCTTTCCCAATTCTGCAGAACACGGGTCTCTGCCACTGAGCCAGGTGCTCGTTAAACCTGTGCATTTCCACATTAAGGAGACCAAGAAAATTCCCTTCCCCTCATAGCAAACACACTGCCCCATTGGTGATGTTGGAATTGATATGTATGAAAACATTTTGATAACATCCAGGAAGGACAGAGGGAAGTCTGCCTTTGATGTTTTCAATTAGCAATAATTGCACCTCAGATAAACCTCATTGGCTATGATACTGCCACTATGCAAAGCTAGTCTGCCTTTGATATGTATAGAGGGCACACCTACCACCTGGTGCTGCAGGAGCCGGAGAACAGGGTGGCCGGAAGGGACCTGCCCAACCTAGGAATGGTGAGGATGGTAAGGCTGGAACTCAGTTTCCAAAACGTAATAATTAATTCTAAGAGAACCTGCATTCTCCTAGTGCATGGCTTGTTCTTACTGGTATTGAGAAAAAATCTTCCAGAAAGAGGTTCTCTAAGAGTGGCCAATCAATCTTAAGCCTGCTTCCATAGTTGCCTCACTCTGTGTGTGTGTGCGTGTGCGCATGCATGTGCACACACAAGGGGTTGGGGAAGGATTTTATTCTACCCTTAACCACAAAATAACTTATCATTTATTTAAGATCACAAATTAGTAGGAGCTCTTATTAGAAATTCACTCCATTACCTATTTTGTTTTCTCAAACAACATACAGTCTTGGGAGAAAAGTGATTATTGGTCACTTACAGCTTGATATAAATGAATTTATTAGACCCTTTCGAATATGCAAGCTGGAGAAGTTGAAGGACTGGTGCCTAACTAGAGCTCCTGGGGACAAAAGAACTCTGAAAGGAGAGAATTCCAGATAGACCTTGCTCACTTTGTCACCCTGTTGAGGATTATTAATCCTATACATCTGAACCCCCCACTGGCACCTACCGAAATAACAGAGTCTCCGACCAATGCATCCTCACTTATAACAGCACTGTAGACATCTTGGCTGAACTTGGGGGGGTTGTCATTCACATCTGTGAGGTTGATGCTGACAGTGGTCACAGCGCTGAGAGCTGGGGTGCCCCCGTCTTTGGCTTCCACCACCAGGTAAAACTTTTTGCATAGTTCATAGTCCAGGACTTCAGAGACAGAAATACCCCCTTTGAGGAAAAATGGAGAGCTTTAGATATGGTGGAAAAATCACTGTTCAGCAGTTCCGTAAACATGATAACATCTGTAACACCATCTCCAGCCAGGAATTTTAGATATTCAGGCATTTGTTTATTAAATACCCTGGTAAAAGCATCCCAGGTGTGATTACTGCTGTCAGTTAAAACATGGCTATCCATCAGACATAACACTGAAGAAATTAAGTCTATCTGTCTCTGCAATAGTTCCTGAACTTTGCCTGAAAATCCCGGGCATTACTCACCCATATGTAACTAGGAAGTAGGGGTAGGGACAAGTATTCCCAATGAGTGTCTCTTGGTGATTCCTCAGACAGACTTGAGAATGAGCCTTGCTGTATGGATGCAGTTTGTGGAATAAGTGAAGGTTCCTGTGGCCAGGATTCTCATCTGGCCCTGGTTGGTTAGCTCACTACACACGTGTGGGCAATGTGTTGTTATTGACTCTATACAAAGAGCTCTGTCCAGTGCTCTGGGCAACATGGTGGCACGGCTGCAAGGCTGCAGAAGAGCAGAGCAGGGGCTGAGGTGGTGGCAGCTCTGAGGACAGAGGCCCAAAGGACAGCTGTGGGGGAAGAGGGGCCCAGAGGCAGTGACTGGCTTGCTGTGTTCAGACTCGCTCTGAGTGAATGGGATTCTGCCACAATCACAATCTGAGTGATTGACCTGCCACAGTGGAAATAAAGTTTGGTATAACCCTTTCAGCCCAAGAATGTTCTACTGTCATTTCTTTGGTCACATTGAATCCATAGTGAACTTGCCCGGGGCTGAAACCCATTGGCAAGACAGGTTGTATGATACCACCCTCTGTCAGCAGACTTAACTGAACTGAATTAGCCACTAAGGTGTCTTGCCAAATTATAATGTGCTTATCCGAAACTATTATGACCCAAATTGGGCAAAGGTGTCAGAAGTCTCAAGGTATAATGACATAATGGAAAAGAAAATACCTGGGAATCAGTGGCCAAATAGGAAATATGAGTCTATGGTCCACAACTCCAGAACAGAGACAACACCCAGGTTGCAGTTATTTAAATGAAGCAAGCAGAACAGGTGCAGGCAGCTGGCTGGGTGCCACCCAGAGGAGGCGCTCTGTGAGCTACTTCCCTCCCATCCAGCTCCCAATCCTGCATTCCGCACTTGGCCGCTGGTCATTGTACTGCCTACAAGTGGTTCTCAAGTGCATGTACCTGTCTCCCACTTGGAAAATAATTATTGGAGCAATGGGACTCTGTCACATCCCTTCAAATTTCCAAACAGGCAACTTTCCTAGCTGTTAAGGCTGCCTTTCTACTCAGGTGAGAAACAGAACTCATACCTTTAACAAGAGCCTCTTCCTCCCCATAATTAACTTTTCTTAGCAATCATCATCCTTAGTGCTTTATTTTGCATCCCAGTCTCGTTATCCAGTGCCAGATTTAAACAGTACTTAACCATTTCCCCATGGTGTTCATACACAATGGCCATAACTATACAGCTAAGACTAACTCACATTTAAATGAGGAAATTCCCCATACATTTTAATTTGAAGTAATGATCTTAATAAACAGAGTTACTGCTGGGAGAAGCTGCTAATACAATTCCTCTGTCAATATTTCTATCTTCCTAAACTTAAGGGCAGAGAGTATGTCTCCCTTGTTTTTTGCACCCCCCCAACCCCCTATGCCCCAGCACAGCAGTGCTGTATAGAGGTTAGAGTGTGTACTATAGAGTGAGAAGATCCGAGTTCACATCCTGGATCTCCCGCTTACTCACAGTGGGCATTGGAGAAATCATTTAACCTCTCTGAAGCTGCTCTTCTCATATGGAGAATGTGAGAAATAACCAATGATTAAATTCAGAACCTGGCGTACTCACAAGGCTAAATAAACATTGGTGTTTATAGTAGCTTTCTTGAGTGTTAACTGGACTATGTGAAGGGGAGTGAACCTCCCTCGCCCCCTTGCTCAGCAAGTGCATCCTTGAGTGAGTGATGAGGGAATCATGCCCAGTGGCCGGGAGGTGCTAGAGTCTCAGCTTTCTCATCTGAATACTTTGCCTATTCATAGATTAGCTAAACAAATGAGAATAGCCACGGAAAGTGCTTTGAAAATATTATTAGAAACACTATGAAAATACAAGGGTGAATATGTTTACATCTCAAAACACATCCAAACCTGTTTTCTGAATTACCATTTTTAAACAGGCCCCTAACAGTGCCCTTAATACTCCCTAATGAAGAGAAAGGCCTAGGGTTCCTCTTTTTGTTCTCCTGTTTTCTTCCTAGACCTTTTTTCCCCAGGAGACAGATGTCACACCCAGCGTATGACAGGGTGTCCTGAAAAGAAACAACACCACTCCCACCAGGACTGATGGGAACTGAATGCAGTGTCAGGTCCAGCTGACAGGGGTGCTGGGCTGAGACGCCGGCAGGTCCCGTGCAGACCACTTTCCAATGTCTGTCTTGCTGGGTGACCAGACAGTGGCAGCCTGAGTGTGCGTGTGGACAGTGGCAAGTGGCTGCTCATCTCCAGGGGCACTTCCAAACACAGAAACATATTATCCAAGAAAAAACAAGCATGCAGACGAACAGCAGGAAAGAGAGAAAAACAAACAAACCCTTTTGTGCTCCGTATGCAAATACTACTTGCTCTCCTCACCTAGGAACCATATTACCACCCCCAAGCCTGCCTGTGAGAAATCTGGGAGCCAACCTGGGGGTCCAGGATTTGCGGAAGGTGTCCACAGCTCGGAACTTACAATGAAGCAGGGGCATCGTGAGCCACAGAGTGTCACAGGCACCCTGGGGGCTGCATGCAGGCCCTGCTCTGAGACTTGTTTCTATTATGAGGGAGGCAGGAGGAGGCAAAGAGCCCACCCAGGAGGGCACTGGAGAGGTAAGAGAAGCAGAATATACTGAAGCTTGAATTCTAAGGAGGGTGCTGTTTACCCACCTGTCTTTGGGTTGATTCTAAATTTCCCTTGCTCATTCCCGGACCGGATGAGGTATGTAATCTCAGCATTTGTGCCGATATCTTTGCTGGTGGCAAAGACAGCAAGGACCTGGGTGCCAGGGGAGGTGTCCTCAGGCACTGTCACCAGGTAGTCTCTCCTCTCAAACATAGGTGGGTTGTCATTAATGTCCAGGACAGTGATGGTGACGGTGGCAAGAGAGGACAGAGCCCGTCCTGGGCTCTGGTCGGCAGCCTGCACGCTGATGTTGTAGGAGGACTGCTGTTCTCGGTCCAGCGGCTGCTCCAGGACAATGATGCCAGAAGAGCCGTCAATGGAGAAGAAGCCATCGGCTGAGCTGGCGAGGGAGTACACGACCTTCCTGTTGATGCCTGCGGGGAGGGGAGAATGGGAGCACAGAACATAGCGTGATGCTCTGCATGAGAATGTTACGGCTTTGTTGGCTTGCAAAGAGCCACCCAACGGAGAACAGTAATTAGAGAAACTAACACATTTGACCCAACAGAAATGTGAAAAATATACAACTGAATTCAACATTAAGAAACAGAAAAAATCGGTAACAAATTTTATAAGTAATCGGTTATTCTTAATGTATTAAATATCTCCACACATCTTTAAGGAAAACTCTAAGCTGCCTGAAGATGGGTAAAGACAGGCCACCAAAAGAGAAATATGAAATAACCAGTTAATTACTTCAACAAATATTTATCTGGAATCTATCCGGTGCTATTCTAGGTGCCAGAGAGTCTGGCAATGGAGAAGACTCAAGCATTATTCCCTGGGCAAATTTTTACATTCTAGTAGGAGTAAACAAGAAATTAATAATAACAAAGAATCCGTGAGATAAATGACATGCTAAGGGGTAAAAAAGGGAGAGAAATAATGCCATAACGGGGGATCAGGGGTGCTGCAGGGAGAGGAAGTTGGGGAGATGGAGGGAAGGGTGCTAATGGTGAATAAGGTAATCAAGAAAGGCCTTGATGTTTGAGTAAAAACCCTAAGGAAGGGAGGGCCTGCAGCTACCAACATGAGGGAGGAATACTCCGGGCAGAGGGACCCACAGGGCAGAGGCCCTGAAGGGGGCCACCTGGAGGGCTTGAGGAGCACTGCGGGGAAGACCACTGTGACTGCAGTCAAGGAAAGAAGCATTAGGTGAGATCAGGGTGACAGTGTTTGGGAGCAGATCGTGTGGTGTCGTGGTAGCGGGGTGGGAAGACACTGCAGGCTCTGGGGCACACAGTCCTGTGGTGTGACTTAGATTTTAACAGGAGCACACAGGCTGTTGGTGGTAAATAAAGAGCAGAAAGAGAGGAAGCAGAGCGGCTGGCCAACTCTCACAGGAAAACAGGCATGCGGAACAGGGTGGTGGTGATGGAAGTGGTGAGAAGTGGTCGGGTTTCAAGTCTACTCTGAACACATGGACGGTGAGTGCAGAGGGGGTCCTGGATGTGTTCTGAACTTGGAGGTGGTGAGAAGAGATTGGTTTCTGACCGTGGATCTGGTAGGATATGGGATGTGAGAGAAAGAGAAGATCCCAAGATGACTCGAAGATTTTGGCTGAAAAGAGGGAGCTGCCATCAGCTGAGATGCATGCAGAGCGCTGTGCGAGGGCTACGATTTGGATGACAGGTCAGGGACCCTGTTTTAGGCAGATTAGGATTGAGATGGGCATTTTATCTTGAAGTGGAGGTTCAAGTAGGAAGTTAGTATGGGAGCCTGGAGATCAGAGGAGAGGTCCCAGCTGGAGCTATACATCTGAAGGTCATCAGAGTTCACCTGGCATATGTTGCCATGAGAATGGATGAGGACATAAAGAGGAAGAATAAATCTGGTGACCAGTGAGCCTGGAGCACTCTATCAAAGAAGGAAGAAGCTTTGTCAGAAGGTCATCTCCAGCTCTATGATTTAAAGGAATGTACTTAGTTACCAAGATACCATTTTACCATAATACATATTAAAGCTAACATGTATCAACCAGGAAATCTCCACTAACAGCAAACAAATTAGTCAAGGATTATTGGATTGACTTCTGGTTCTGAAGACTGATTTCATCAGAGGAGCTCAGTACTTCAGCATGGTTTGTGCACCTTGAATTCACTAGGAATTAACATATATAAGAAGCAAAATGCAATAAGTTCATAGGCTGGAAAAACATCATTTTGATTCTAAATGACCTTACTGAAGGCAGTCATTAGTCAGGGGTCTAGCTGTGACAACCACCTAGAAATCTCTTCTGTGAATCATGGGTCCCTAGAATATAAGCTCTCGGAAGGGTGGGCCGAAACCCGTTTTGTTTTCTATTATGAACACCTCAACAAGGGACATTTGGCAGTCATAAGAGTTAAATGTATTTACCCCTCCCCCCAACATAGAATTTCCCTTAAGCCAAAATTCCCAGCAAACCAATAAAGTCATATATCTGGAGAGAATGACATAAATTGCATTATGTGGCTTTAACCAAAAGGTCAACACTGAGAGCCAGCTCTTGTTTGCATTCCAGAGAGTCCATTTTTTCCCAAAGTTTCATCATTTACTTTTATTTCTCCTTCAAAACAACCACCCTGTGACATATAAACATCAACCTCTGATTTTATTGGTGCTGGGGTTAAAAACAAGAAGGCTTTCCTCTTTCCTTGCTGCCCCTTGAAATAAGGCCCCAGAGCAGAGCTTTTAGGGAGAGCTTCTGGCTATTTTTGAAGTGGCGGCAAGATTAAATTCTTCAACATAAATCCCTGGGGTGAACATGCAGAGTGGAAGGTGATCAGGCTTGTACCTGAAAAACAGTAACCCTGCCTGGGTGTCAGAGGGGGTCGCATGCCCCAGAAGCTGCCTTGATTGATTCGATGGTCTCAGGACACCTCCCAACGTGTGCATTTATGGAAACACATCAGCGATCAGCATAAACACACCAAATCGGTTGCAAACCATGCGCATTCCCTGTAGGTTGGACTGCCACCCTCAGCCCACGAAACGCCACTCTTTCCAACAGTAAGAGGGGGCAGGAAATTCACACAGGGTTTTGGTCTGAGCATCTGCTGACAACAGCAAAAGCCACCTTGCTGACGCCAAAACCAGGGGCTGATGGGCTCGCCTGCTGCCGCTGGCATTTCTACATAGGTGCAAGCTGTGGAGTCCCATTTTCCTAGGCTATTTGCTCAATCCCCTTTAGGGTTTCTCGAGATCTGCTCCTGGACATGCTTCCTCTTCAGGCCTGCAGATCATTTAGGAAGAAGGTAATTCTGCCTCACTGTTCTGAAAGCCACGGTGCTTCCACCAGCAGAGCTTGGAGAGGCAGAGGGTGCACTTGCACATGGCCTCTCCCTGGGACCAAGGCCGGAGGAAGGGTGCTTTCACGGCTGTCTGTTTCCTTCACTGGGACAGACAGCTGAAATCTAATTAAAAATATCCCCTGTGCTCTGGTCTGCAGTTTTCTCTTCCCTTCCCGTCCTACTCAGAGGCTCTGCTCAGATCCCCTGAGCAGGAGATGCTGTGTTCTTGGAGATTCCTGCTCAGCGGGCTAGCTCTGCTGTTGAAGTGCTGCATTTACGAGGCTGATATTAATCAGCCCCACAAAGACCACGGCTCCCCTCTGGGCAGATTCTGTTCATTTAAACTTGGTGACAGGGCTTTTCTGCTTTACCACAGCAGAAAACCATCCCCTCCCCACTGAGTTGCTGACCCAACTCCCTCCAGCCCCCACCTCCCCATACATTCTGCTTCTGACACTATCTTGAGCATTTGCACCAGGAGGAACTGGGAGATTTATTGTTTCCCTCTCCTGTTACCAATCAGACTGATTTGAAAGCAAGAGCAGAAAAGGGGGAGAAAAAAAACCCAAACCAATAAGCCTGATAAATGGCATCACTTATGATTTGGTAGCTCTAGGAAAAGGGCAGGATAAATTTTTGGAATGTATTAAAATTCCAATTTAGACACAAGTGCAATGATCTCAGTGATTTCTAGAAATAAAGTCAGATGCGAAAGTGCCAATCTGGAGACGGTACTTTTGGTGTGGCATTTGGGTCTTTGCTGTGTTGCCAGGTGATGTGTGTTATCTGTGTTAAATGAACGCGGGTCATGTCACTAAAAGGGAAACTTTCTATGCAAGGGTGTATGATAAATGCCATCCTTCAAATCACCCTCCCTTTGCTACACACCCGGCAGAAAAAAGGAACCTGAGTAGAAGACTTGTTTGCTAATTGGTCTCATGTTCTTACTGCATGTCACAATGTGTTATATTAAGGTATAACATTAATCCATCATTTTGCATCTGTGTTTTTAAGTATGTAATTCTCGTCTCCAATTTGTGCCTAATTTAATGAGGACAGAGCTACTTAGCTTCTTAAAATGCTGAAATGACAGGCTACCAAGAGAAGTATGACTTTCATTGCAAGTGAAGTTCCTGCAGGTTAATGGTAGCAAATGGAACAGGCAGGCCTTCAGAGGATTAAGATCAAGTAAAAAGAGAATGATTAAAATCTCTGTTGGCTCAAAGGAAGTAATAGGTAGTGGCACTTTGTGGAGTGACGTTGGACTACCAAAATAGCACATAAAAATTCCCAGGAGGGAAGGCTGTGGAGTTGTGGGGTGGGTTGCCAAGGGTATTCAGATTCTCTCCCTTAGAAGGTCTCTAAATGGAGGCTAAGTTCCTCTCAATTCAGCCACATGGAAAGATGGACTTTTTAATGGCAGGAGCTGCATGTAAAAGTCAAAGTTTCCAATGCTTTAAGGTGAAGGCCATGGGGTCCATTCCTGGAAGATAGGAGATCTTTCTTCTAGTCCCTGGTCTGTCCAAAGTATATGACTGTTCTTGGACAAGTCACTTTAAACACTGGATCTCAGGTTTCTTCATTTTTAAAATGACAGAACTGAGGTCAGTTGAGGTCTAAGATGATCTTCCAGCATTGTGCTTCATTTCCAAGTTAAACCAATGGAGCGAGTTCCGTTTATATTTCCAAAGCACTGCTCTCCCCACCCCCTACAGCTGCTCATTAAGTTGCCAGACCTGGGCATAAGTGGGCCGCCTCGCCAAAGGGGAAGTGCAAATTAAGCCTGATCATGACGTGCTATTGGAATCTTCTGGATGGGGAGAAAGCTCAACACAGATCATACTGCTCAGAGGTCACACACACAGCTTACAGCAAGGCTTTCGCAGCTCAGTAAGAAATAATGCCAGCTCCTAGGATCGTCCCAGGGATCTAACCCAGGGCCAGAACTCGCTTTCTATCTGATATTGTTGCAGGGGTTAGGATCAGCACCCGAACTGGACGGTGAACAGGCCAGCACAGAGATGTTTTTAACCTGGTCTTGAGAAAATGTTCTCCCCCTTCCTCCTAAGCTTAAGGAATCTACAGGAGCTCTGTTTTGCTTG